TATGTGACCTTCAGAAAGGCTTATTTCAGGAGCAAATAAGACACATCCTTGGTCAGTTTAAGCTTACAAGGGTATGGCAGCTGCCCAGCTCTTCAGCAAATGACAGGATATCCTACCGTGAGCAGGTGTTGCTGTGGGCTGTAGAAGAGATTCACTAGCCTGAAACTAAGTGTAGTTTTTTCCTTGTCAGCTCTGGGATCATGGAGCTAATCTTTAATCCTGGATTACAGTCAACCAAAGGATAGTACATATAACAGATGTGTCCCTGCATTTGGTATTATGAGGAAATTTCACTTGATTAAATTTTTTTTAATGATATCTTCATCTCCCATTTAGTATGTTGGTAGTGAAGCGTAAGTAAGGTAATATGTGAAATCTTTTATTGCCAAATAGTTCCCAGTCTCAAAGCAAGTATTGTCATAGACTTGTCTGAATAAACAAAGGAGAACTTATGTGTTAAAGTGAGTGGGCATGTGGCTTTTTCTCAGTCCTAGGGATCATGGTGGATATTGGAATTAAGATAGTAGTCATAGTGATGAATCAGAGAGAAGATAAAAGCTGGGGAAGAGTACCAATGGGACAGCTGTAAAAGCAGCAGAAAGTCTGGGACTAACCCTGGAGGGAGCACAGCCAGTTTCCATCATTATAAGGTTTGTTATCTTGTTCCTCAGTGATCTAGGCCCCCAATTTGTATATCCTTGTTGCTAACGTTCTTTTTGCTGCCATTTTCTTGTTCCTTGACTCCCTACTAGATATCGATCAGGACATTGGAACTGGACAGAGAGGACTAAATCACATGAATCAATTTTATTTCTGGTAGTCAGTTCTAGTAAAAAAAATTGATGGAAAGGTGGTTGAAGTATTACTTTACACTCTGTGTTCTTGAATTACCAATGCCGGCCCCTTTATTTTTCCATGGACAATTAAGATTTGGTTGAACATAGATGAATTAACACAGGCGTGAGCTACTGTTGGTCAAGGAAATTTTTGTTATTATAATATCAACCTTTGGTATTTGAGTGCCAAATATATTTATCATTTGTATTTTATTTTATTTATTTATATTTTTATTTTTTTATTTTTTATTTTTTTGAGGTACGCGGGCCTCTCACTGTTGTGGCCTCTCCCATTGCAGAGCACAGGCTCCGGATGCACAGGCTCAGAGGCCGTGGCTCACGGGCTTAGTTGCTCTGCGGCATGTGGGATCTTCCCGGACTGGGGCACGAACCCGTGTCCCCTGCATCGGCAGGCGGACTCTCAACCACTGCGCCACCAGGGAAGCCCTATTTTATTTATTTTTTAATTGAAGTATAGTTGATTTACAATACTATATTAATTTCAGGCGTACAACATAGTGATTCAATATTTTTATAGATTATACTCCATTTAAAGTTATTATAGGGACTTCCCTGGTGGTCCAGTGGTTAAGACTTCACCTTCCAATGCAGGGGGTGTGGGTTCAATCCCTGGTCGGAGAACTAAGATCCCACATGCCTCGCGGCCAAAAAAACAAAACATAAAACAGAAGCAATATTGTAACAAATTCCATAAAGACTTTAAAAATGGTCCACATCAAAAAAAATCTTTAAAAAAAAGAATAAAAAAATGTTATTATATAATATTGGCTACATTCCTTGTGCCGTACAATATATCCTGGTAGCTTATTTATTTTATACGTAGTAGTTTGTGCCTCTTAATCCCCTACCCCTATCTTGTCCCTCCCTCCTATCATTTGTATTTTAATACTTCATTTATTTCTCATTTTATAAAAATACTAAATAATAGGAATTATTTATAAAATATATAGTAAATTACAATATAAACATTATATAATTATGTAAAGGGATTCCCTGGTGGTGCAGTGGTTGAGAGTCTGCCTGCCGATGCAGGGGACGCGGGTTCGTGCCCTGGTCGGGGAGGATCCCACATGCCGCGGAGTGACTGGGCCCGTGAGCCATGGCCGCTGAGCCTGCGCGTCCGGAGCTTGTGCTCCGCAACGGGAGAGGCCAAAACAGTGAGAGGCCCGCGTACCGAAAAAAAAAAGTAAAAAGAAAGGATTATTTAACAAATTGTTTTTTGAATCACTAAATAACACTATGAAAAAAATTAATTTGCATCAGTTCTCATACCATACAACAAAATAAACTTCAGATGTAAAGGTTAAACTTTTTAAAAATCAACTATAGATCACTCTTAGAAGATAGATTAGGCAGTAGAAGAAATTGCAAAGCAAATGACAAGCAGCTATAAAAATATTTTGTTCAAAACATAATAAAATTAAAAGAAAAATGCTTTTGTAAAAAGCCTCTTCGTATGTGTCAAAGAAATAGAAAGCTCCTTTGAGCTTATGAGAACTGCAAGACCCTAATAAATAAATGGACAAGGGATAAATCTGATAATTCATACAAAGAAGATGTATTAAACAAATGTTGAGAAAATATCCTATATCACTGGCAATTAAAATAGTGCAAACTTATAAAACAATATTTTATACCTAACTAAATTAGCACCAAAAAATAATCGGCAACATTCATTGCTGGCAAAGTTGCAGTAAAAGAGATTTGCTCATACTTTGCTACTGTCAGCAAAAACTAGAAAAATCCTTTTGGATAGCAACTTGGAATGTATACCAAGAACCAGGAAACTATACTCTTTAATCTCAGGATTGAACATGAGGAAGTAATATAAAGAAAGAAAAAAGTATCAAATTTAACTTAGCAAACAAAAAAGTGGAAACAAGTACAAAAAAAGGTAAGAGGGTACAGTAAGTAACTATTAAGCTTATAATAAAAACTGTAAATACATGGGGAATACATAATATATGAAAAAAGTAGAAAAAATTATACATCACATACAACTCTGACATAGCTGTATACATATAAACAAAGACTAAAAGAAGATGAAAACAATATGTGCTGGGATTTCAGATAAAATATGTGCTTTTCTGCTTTTTCTAGTATTTTCTAATGTTTTCTAGTACTTAACAGTAAATAAAGATTGCATAAGTAGGAAAAAAAAGACAGCGAAAGACTGTCTAATTTTAGTAATTATGTATTAAAAATTAGGGTAACTTGGGCTTTTATAGAGTTATTTGGAGAAATATTGCCCAGTTATGTTCTTGCTCAGAATCCAGTGCTAGTACTTTATTCAGCCCCCAGAATGGTCAAAATGACACTGTGTTTAGTTCTTCACTAGACCCCTAATGAGTAAAACTAAGTGTGCCATCAATACCTGTGTCCTATATGTGCCACATGAATAAGCCTATAAGGATGAAAGTCATTAGACGCTGTAAAGATACTAAAAGCAGTCGTCTGTAACTTATTGTTTCCACCCAAACTTGTTTCTTTGGTGATTTCATATTTGTGAGCTATTTGTATTGTAGAGAGATTGTTTTTGTATAGCATCTATTCAATTTCAGTAGAGCAGAAACCTTTAATACTGCTCATACCAGAAGAATGGGACAAGTGCCCATGCTTTTAATCACCCTCACTATAATTTTTTCTGCTCTATGTATTTATATTTTAAAGGTCATGTTTTAACCTTTGTAATGAGAAACCACATTTTATTAAGCATCTACACAATTTCTTTTCTGTTAAAGAAAATTAGAAAAGAGGGAAATGTAGTTCCCTTCTACTCTTTCTGCGCTTGCTTCATTGATGTAGTAGTGAGTTGATTTGCTTTCAAGACCAGAATATCTTCAAAGCTGATTCAACACTACTTTGTTCAGTGTTCTGCAAACAGTGGCCTTTAAGTGACTGGTGATCTGACAAGAATCTCTCATAACCTTTAGCATTGTCATCATCTTCTCCTCACTCTGTGGGGCTCTTAGCTCTTTGATGTTCATTTCTGACCAGTGCAGTGATAATGCACTGGCAAAAAGGATAATCAATGGATTATAGTCGTCTTTTTAAGTTGCATGAGATTAAAGCACATATTAATTGAATTTTTGATCTATTTTAAATAGCATTTTATTCATTTTAAATGTAATATAGGCTGAAACTAACACAATATTGTAAATCAACTATACTTCAATTAAAAATAAAAGTAATATAGGCTTATGGTTTAAAATTTTTAATACAGAAAAGGATAAACGACATAACATGAATCATCAATAATGCCACCACTTGTTACATTTTTGGTGCAAAAAGAAATTAAACTTTAAGAAAAACAGAAACTTGAAAATACTGCATCTATATGAGTAAGTATATTATGACTAATGACCCTCTCTCTCAAATACTTCATGAGAGATAATGTGGTATAGTAGAGAAAACACTGTCCCTGGATTCAAGCCAGTTCTGGAGTCCTGGGCCCTGTTTTGCCACTTACCAATTATGTGACCTTGATTAAGTTACTTAAGGCATGGTTACCCTATGGCTTAGTTTTCTTATTTTTAAATAACCGTAATAAGGCCAGACTTATAGGATTGTTGTAAGAATTAAACACATGACAGATCTAAAGCACTATGCTAGTGTCTGGCATATAGTAAGTGCTAAATAAAAGGTAAATACTAATTTAATTATTATACATCATTAGATCTTTAGGAGAGTATCACTGAAAATTCATTCAGCAAGTATTAATTGAGAACCTGCACTAGAAATTCAAAGAGGAATAAAGCAACACATAATGGGTGATGGGGTAGGGATGGTGATGTAGAGACAGATAGGTGAATTGACTGAACATGCAAGCTTCAAGTGAGGAGGTGGGGCTGTGGGAGTGTCAGGATGTGTTTTGTTCAGAGGTACTGGAGATCTCTGATCTGCTGAATTTCACTGGTTAAAAATTGATACAAACTAATACATGTGAATATCTTATCTATGGTATCAAGACCCATAGAAAGGTTATATCTTTTGGAGAGTTACCGGGTGAGAGACAAAGGATAGAGGTCATTTTGGGTGATGGTGAAGTTGGTCCCTTCAGAGTGGCCTTGTAGAATGGCCCCTGAGCATTCTACAAGGGGCCACTGAGATCTCTTTAAGCTTGTTTCTCACTTGTGTGCCTAGATACTTGGGAAGTGCCATTTGAGGAGATCTCAGAGCTGCAGTGGCTGGGTAGTGGAGCCCAGGGAGCTGTCTTCTTGGGCAAGTTCCGAGCGGAGGAGGTGGCCATCAAGAAAGTGAGAGAGCAGAATGAGACGGATATCAAGCATTTGAGGAAGTTGAAGCATCCTAACATCATCGCTTTCAAGTAGGTCAAGGCTTTTTTTTTTTTTTTTAAAGAAATAGAGAGATTTTCTTTCCTCCAGTATATACATTTAAGTTCCTGCTTTGAAAGACATGTTAAGAACACTCTACAGACTTAGCACTGTGCTAGGTGCTTTGGGAGGGTACCAAAGAACTATTATATTAGAATCATGTCTTTAAGGATTTTATAGTCCAATAGTTCTTTTTGCCAGAGCACACACTTCTTGGAAGGGATGTATGTGGGACAGAGAGGGAGAAGGTAGATTCCTGCCAAGCAGTCAGATCTGCTGAATCAATGTCATTATCAGTAGGACAACAGAGGCTACTTCAAGATAACCTGAACATCCTAAAATTCAGTTAAGAAAACAAAGCTAACATGTGAAGTGATCAGAGAACAATTAGTTCCTTGTAAATAGAGATGTATTTTCTTACTAGTTTCTATTAGTGTCTGTTCTTAAATATTAACTTGTAATAACAGGTACCTTCAGAGTATTTCTCCCTGCCTCAGGTTTTGCCAGATCCATTTTCAAGGAATGCCAAACACTCAGCTTTCTAAATCTAATAATAGTAAAATTAGTGATGATAGTAAGTTAAATGCTATATTTATTTCACAAAGTGGTTGTTTTCAAGAGTATGTGAATATATCTTTCTAGTTTAGTCCCTTATTTTCATAATATTGACAGGGGTCCCTAGCAAAATGGAAAGATTCAGAGGTAAATTTGTAGAAGGCACCAAACTTGGCAGTGCTGAGCTCTGAATATGTATAATCTCTTCTCCCTGTACTCTTCCCTTGAGTTCCTTCTCTTACCAGCCTTAAAATTTTGCCCTAGGCTTGAACAAATGAATAATGAGTGGCTTAAGAGGAAGAAAGGTGAAGAACAGGAAAGAAAGCCTTTAGGAAGGAAGAGAGATTAGAAATTAGATCTTCTTGGTATATTTTTATATAATATATATTGAATTTATATATATTTCAATTCTGGAAAATAGTATGACCAATAAGCCTATAGCTAAAAGTAGAATAACTTACAAATTCTCCTTTCCTAACCTAGGAGGGACTTCCTCCAGCCCCCAAGAGGAATCCTTTCCTCAATAAAACTCTCATTATAAAGCTAAACATGTCATGCAATAATTTCTAATTGGAAATATATCCCCAAAGTAAGGAATAGAAATCATGGGTACAAGTTTTGTAGAATGGGTTTAAATGTGTATTGAGGTTGAGTTTTGATTCCCAAACAAGACCCCTTACTTTGGAAAGGGAAAGAAGTATGAAAAGAAGAGAAGCATTCAACTGGGATACTAAATGAAGTCCTTGGATTCATTTCCTTGTGGAAGGAACATCCCTGCAGAGGACATGGGAGAGAATTTCAGCTGCTGTAGTGATTCTATTATTGGTTGCCCTAGGAGGGCCAGGAGGATGTGAAACTAAAACAAAATGCTATCGAGACCAATTATAATCCTTCCCAAGATGATAAGTTTCTCAAGACAATAGGAGGATTATTTTTAAGCAGACAAGTCTGTCAGAGGCTCACTTTCATTCATTTTACTTCACTGAGAGGATCATCATTGCAGTGTGGTTACCCTCGTAAATGGAAGGAAGAGCCTTTTATTTAACTAAACTTTAAGCTTAAATCACTGGTATGCTAGGTTTGAGACACTGAATGTTCTATAGATGAGCATGGCCTTTTGGCCTCCCAAAGTGAACTAGGCTATGAGTCTCAGGTAAGAGGGCTTTCTAGCAAGAGGTCGTGAGTTACTGAAGGTAGAAATGTGTCCTCAGAGGATGAGTGCGAGAAGCTTGATTTTTCCTTCCTTTCTTTTGTTTCTTCCTTTTTCCTCTGAGTCTTTTCCCCGCTTTACCCTCTGACCCTCCTACCTGCATATACAGTTTTCAGCATTATGGATAAGTATTGCTCTGTTGGTGTCCAACTCTTTAGGCTGAAGATGCTTGAATTGTCTTTACCTCTACATGGAAAACAATAGTGAGACTGTGTCCCTGGCCCATTACACCATGCTCTTGAAGCATTGTGCAGTGTTATGTTTGCAGCCATCTGTGCCATGTGTTGCTTAGCCAATGAATCATTCAGAACCGTCTGGAAGATATGAAGGCATGACTAGATTTTAGTACATCTCTCTGGATACTGATTTCTGTGCTTTCAGCTTCTTTTGAAGTTAGTAAGAACCATGTACAGAAGGGAAGTGCAAGAAAGGAATACTATATTCTCTTTTTCTTCCAATTTTTAAGCAATCTTTTAAGAAAACCCAACCTGCCTGTTCCTAATGGAATTGAGTGCCAAAGGGAAGAAAAGGTAGCAATTAGAAGTGATTATAGAGCTGTTATTTATAGCTACTAAGAAGTCTTGTCATAGTACAGGGCTGATGGAATGATTGCTTCTCATTTGTCAGTCAAGAAAGATGAAAAGTGTATAACATATCGCTGTTAGGCTCTTTATGTCAATGTTTGTCTGACAAGTTAAAACATACTTGAGTAAGATGCTGAGTAGTTTCAAACAAATATTTGTTTTGATATTCTTAAGCACATTACACTATTTCTGCCCTAATTCATTATTTCTCTGTAGTAAAAATTAAATTGTCTGTTGCTGTATACTTGTGCTCCACTGAGGTTTCCTGAAACTCAAGTAACGGAAACTTTAAAAATTTTTTCTTTAAAAATCAAGATGAGAATTCTGGGGAGCTTAGAAAATGATAGGAGAGTAATAGAAATAGCTTTGCGGCATTTGACAGGCACATCAAGGCAGGGAAAATAAAAACTAATTATACTTATTCATAATCTGCCGTTGTTATAAGACTTTCACATGATCACAAGTCACAACCTCTAAATTCTTTCAGCACTTATGGCAGCCTAAGAGATAGGACATGAATTGGTAGCTGGCTGAGGACTTTAGCTGGGAGTCTTGTAGGTAGAATAACGATATTCCTTTGGAGGAAGGCATACGTATCATTAAGAAATAAGACACAGAGAATTGCTCACGGTAATTTTTCTTCTCTTTTCTGATTCTCAGAACAAAACTGTGAAGTAGAGCTAATATGATTTTCCCACTTTTATAGGATAACAGTATTAATATAGGAATCCCCAATATGCTTGTCTATACAAACTTTTAAAAGCTGGAAGGGAGGCAGTGTAGCGTAGTAAGTGGAAAAAGCATGGGCTTTGAAGTAGACAGACTGGATTCGAATCCCAGCTCTGTCATGTATTAGTTGTATGATCCTAGGACAAGTCAGTTTTCCTCGCTGAGCTTTACCTGTAGAAATGGAAAAGATAATATCTATCGTACAATGGTTTGAGGCAGATTAAATAAGACAATTAACTAACATGTAAACATGCCTGACAAATAGAGGATGTTCTTTCGTGTTAGTACCCTTCCTCCTACCCCTTGCCTCTGTACTTGTTTGTGCAAAGGCTTTATCAGCAAAGAACGTTCAGGTGAAGTTAAACAATATTTGTCAAGGACTTGCTGTGAACTTCTAAGCTATGTGGTAGAAAGAAAAGTACTTGAAGACCTTTTCCTTTAAGGAACCGATAATCTGTACAGGGAGAGAAAAATTGCATATAAAAAACAAATATGTAGCATAGGAAATTAGAGAAGAGAAAGATTTTTTTTTAGACTGGAATAATCAGGAAAGGCTTCATAGAAGATGTAGGAATTGATGAAAATAGAGGCTGCATAGGTGTATAATACATTGTGTAACATTATTTTTGTTCTAAACAGAAATGTTTTTCAGCTACTCTATAACATAGAAAATTGATTCTTTTGGTCCTCAGTCTAGTTATCTTAAATTTGAGTAATTTGAAATTCAACAAATAGTAAAAATAGCAATATTTTATTTGAATTCTCTCTGTACACTATATACAAAACTTTCCATTTAATTTTTAAAGGAAGATATTTAAATTATTCTTAACAATCTAAAATATCCAGCCTACACAAGTCTCAGAGAAAGGTGCTCTTTGTCCTAGAATGGAATGGTCCACCAGAAAAAGCACCGATATAGCGTAGCATATAGATATCTAAAGTGAACAAAACAAACTAAAATTGTCTATGCGTGTAACAAAGAAACATGTAGACTAGAGGGACTTAAATGGTAATTTAAGGATCAGGAAAGATTATATGCATTTTTAAAATAATGTGGACAGAGAACTGGTCTTAATTATTAAATTTATTAAATATTCTTAAAATATAAATATGTATACATATATGTTTATATGGATGTGTGTACTCATGTACATGTCTGTGTTTTCTTGAAAGGGGTGTTTGTACTCAGGCCCCATGTTACTGTATCATCATGGAATACTGTGCCCATGGACAACTTTATGAGGTTTTGCGAGCTGGCAGGAAGATCACACCTCGATTGCTAGTAGATTGGTCCACAGGAATTGCAAGTGGAATGAATTATTTACACCTCCATAAAATTATTCATCGTGATCTCAAATCACCTAAGTGAGTTCTGGAGCTAATTTTTCAGCCATTTTGTTTTATTTTGAAATATGGAATTTTATCAACCATAGTTGAAGCTTTTGGACATCATATTTTCAGTTCAGTTTAAATTAGCACAGTGGATAACTCTATTTGCATGTTTGGGGGATTATTGTTAACCTACTTACCTATATGGCAGATATGTCCAGGCACCTGACAGTAGTTTTCCCTTTTTGTTGCCTTTTAATTGTACAACTATGAAACAAAATATATTAACTAAAGTATTCACTTTCCATCATCTCAGATAATTAATGCCAGACTTTCCCATTGGAAGGCTTGACTTGTTGTTTTCCCAGTGTGTTCCCCCCAGAAAACCAATTTTTTAAAAACTGAGTTTCAGAAATATATACAACAGGATAAAAATGGATAAGAAACAGAGGCAAAGAGAAAATAAAAACATTAACTAAAGCTTGTTCACAAAATGTATACCATAAGATTCTGTACAGTTGTTAGAGGTGGCTTATGAATTTGGCTTTGAGCTTCCTAGAGTCTAAGCAAAGAAGGAAACAAGGTAACGAGGTTCACAGTGCCCATTAAATAATATAAATTGGTTATTTAAGAGAAGCAGATTGGCATATCCCAATGATCTGTATTGTTCTAGGGTGTGATGGCTTAGGAGTGAATATGATTTGAACCTAATACATTTTTAGAGGGTGTCAAATTCAGAACCAGGCAGATCCATCTCCTGACCCTAAACATGGTCCTAAAGTAAATCGCTTGAGGAAACTGGATCCCAAAGATTACAGGTGGGGAATTTTGAAGTGTGTCCATATTTCTTTGGAGATCTAAGAAGCCTAACTAAAAGAATTGTGGGCTGACTCACATAATAACTTCTTTTTGAAAGGGCTATTTTATCTTGAAGATTATGAGTTTGGAGGAACTAAGGTGATTGGCAGTGGAAAGAATCAGAATGTGTGAAATTCCTTAAAAATGTATTGACTTAAATAACTTTGTGTTACACATAATAAAAAAAAAACCTTTAAAAAAAAAAGAAAGAAAAGAAAAGAGAAGCAGAGCTGTTTTTAGTAACCTGTTTTCAAAGTGATTCTTTGGCTACCAATAACCACTTCAAAAGGAATGTTTATTCAGTTCCCCAAAATGCATGAAGGAAGGAAAGGAATTGATTAAATGGTATATTTCAGTGAAGCTCCTATTTTTAAACATTATTTTCATTATTTCCCACCACATTTTTGTTTAGAGAAGCAGAGAAGAATTAATCTTTATCCAAAAACATACTTGCATAGTGCTTTCATGGTTTACAACATTTTAAAATATCCATGATCACATCTGCTTTGATCTTAGCAAAAATGTATGGAATAGATGTAACAAATATCATTTTATATAAGAAAATCTAGAACTCAGAGCCCAAAGTCATGGAGCTAGGACTTGAACCCAGAACTTAGCCCACAGACCACCGCATTCTCCCTCATCATGTGAAGATGAGGGATTCACAATTAATCCTGCCTCTTCTCCATGGAAGATACAAATCTGTCCTTGATATCAACTTCAAAGCAGCTCTTATTTATCACCATAGTTCTCAACAATGTTTATTATAGTCGTTAGCTCACTGAACAACCTTCTCCTTGCTTTACTTGCAAATAAACTTTATTACAGTGTTCATTCCTTCTGTTCACATTTTTCACACAATCTGTTGCTTTTGTCATCCACTGCATACACATGAAGTACACAAAATACTTGACGAAGACCTCTTTTCGGTACGCGGGCCTCTCACTGTTGTGACCTCTCCCGTTGCAGAGCACAGGCTCATCGGCCACGGCTCACGGGCCCAGCCGCTCTGCGGCATGTGGGATCTTCCCGGACCGGGGCACGAACCTGTGTCCCCTGCATCCGCAGGCGGACTCTCAACCACTGCGCCACCAGGGAAGCCCCCAAAGACCTCTTTGAATGGCCTCCTTCTTAACCACCTTGTTCTCTTTAAGAATTAATTTTAGGAAATTCCCTGGCAGTCCAGTGACTGCCCCGGTTCAATCCCTGGTCAGGGAGCTAAGATCCTGCAAGCCAGGCAGAGCGGCCAAAAAAAAAAAAAAGAAGAAGAATTAATTTTAGAGGAAGAATTCAGGAAATTTTAGCATATGTAAATCACATGCTACTCTCTTTAACTCTTGTCATTTAAAAATAAGAGCAGGCACTTCCTTGGTGGTCCAGTGGTAAAGAATCCGCCTTACAATGCAAGGGACGAGGGTTCCATCCTTGGTCAGGGAACTAAGATCCCACACGCCGCAGGGCAACTAAGCCCGTGCGCCACAACTACTGAGCTCGTGCACCTCAACTAGAGAGCCTGCGTGCCGCAAACTAGAGCCCACGTGCCCTGGAGCCTGCGCGCCACAGCTAGAGAGAGAAAACCCAGACTCCACAACTACAGAGATGCCCACGCACCTCAACGAAATATCCCACATGCCTCAATGAAGATCCAAGTGCTGCAGCTAAGACCTGATACAGCCTAAAATAAATAAATAAAATAAATCTTTTTAAAAAATAAAAATTAGAGCAATAAGTTTGTTATCTAGTAAGTCTTTCCCTCTGCTATCAGTACCATCCCGAACCTCCAGCAGCCTTGGCCTCTTTGGGTTCCAAGCTGACACTGAGAAGACAAAGGTCAATCTGCTGTAAAGAGAGATTTCATTACCTGCGTTAAATCCTTAGGCTGTGTGACCCCAACTTTGTCTCAGAAGCCTTCACGAAAGTCCCAACGTTGTATCTTTTCTAGTCTCCTCCCATGGCTCTTCCCTCTTGTCATACTAACAGGTCCCATAATGAGCAGAACAAAAGAGGCAGAAGAGGAAGCTTCTAGTGTTTTTCTTACTAGGAGCTTATCACCTTTTTTTACTTTCAGCGTATATGATACCAGCAATTCTCCAGTTATCTCACATATCCCATGATATTTTAATCCTTACGCATTTTCACCAAGACTAACATGATTAAATCAAAATTCCTAAATTATGTAAATTTTATATGTCACGTACAAAACCAGGGTTAAGATATGGATGAAGGTATTCTAAAGCAATCATAAGCAATGAACTGTTTGGTAGAGAGCCATCTGACATTGGCGGGGAGGGGGGCAAATGTCAAGTTCCTGGTTCACATAGAGGAGGAAGGAGATAGATTGAGAAGTTTTCTGTTTTCTAGCCGCCTCAATTCTGATACTATTTGAGTATTAAGACTTCGTGTTAAAATTAAGTCTGTATATCATTAAGCCTCTGAAACCCTAACTCATTAACATTTTAAAGTTCTAAACAGGTTATTTCAAGTGAATTCAGTCTAGTGTGTGTGGATGCTAATTCTCTGGATTTGACTGGTACTAGATTTTATTCACTTTAAGGCTAGCAAAAGAAGTTTGCCCCAAGTCACAACCCAGATCACTGTAACAAGTATAACATGACTTGTGTGGAATCTACCTAAGCTTAAATTTATTCCTGCTTTTCCTTATCAACATTAATGGAATCCCAGCATACTTATTAGCCTTTTATAATAATGAATCCCTTGTGTCATGGTGCCATGCATGATTTTAGTTGGCCATCATTTAAACGTGTTTTAAAAGAAGTGTTTTTCCTGTTGAGTTGTCTGAGACCAGCAAGGATGAAAACCAATGTTTATGGAGATGGGTGCTTTACATATATTACTTCATTTAGTTCAAATGAAAATCCTATGAGACCATTATTACAGACCCATAATCCCTCATCCAAAGCTCTTGGAGTCAGATGATTTCAGAAATGTAACACAGGGCATTTACCTTACACCCCCAGCGAAGTCTGGGGCCACATCCTATGATCAGCCACATTCATAAATCTGCAGCAAAACCTTTGACAGTCGCACAAAGTGGGATAAGTTGAGTTTATTTATATATATGAAAAAATATTTATAAAGAATTTTTGGAGATTTTTGAATTGTGGATAAGATACTGTGACTTGAATTGTCTCCATCTTACAGATGAGAAAACTGGCTTAGAAGAATTAAGTAATTGGCAAAGGTCACACAGTTAGCAGTGGTGGAGGCAGGATAAAACCAGATGTAGAAAGCCCACTATGCTATGCTACCTCACAAGTATGAATGATGCTGTTTGTGGTGTGTAGCTAATGCCCCAGTAGTACTGGAACTCGAGAGCTGAATTCTGCAAGGTAGGAGGCAGCAAACAAAATCTTCAGTTGCCAGTTAGTCATGCTTTTCATTAATACTAACGATCTGGATGTTTTCTTTATTTCTTTTTAAAGTGTTTTAGTGACTCACACAGATGCAGTAAAAATTTCAGATTTTGGTACATCTAAGGAACTTAGTGATAAAAGTACCAAGATGTCCTTCGCTGGCACAGTAGCATGGATGGCGCCAGAGGTGATACGGAATGAACCTGTCTCTGAAAAAGTCGATATATGGTGAGTGGTGCCATCTGTGCCAACCAGAAAGCCTGTTCCCACTTTCACCCTGTTAGCGCTTTCCTCTTTCAACACATCTACTTTCCCAAAATATTCTTTAGTATTACTCACTTCTGGTTGATTTCAGTCTCATATAATCTGAGGTACTACCCAGCATGATCATCACACCTGGTAAGAAGGATTGGGGGAGAAGGAATTAGGGTGAATATCCATTCAGTAAGTCATCAGTTTGGGGGACTCCCAGAGAATATGCTGAACTTTCTGGAAAACTAAAAGTTCACTTTATATAGCCATTTAGTATAAAAGTCTTTCTGAAATATACTACATAATTTTCACCTTCTTTAATAAAATATGTTGAACAAAGTTTACCTGTTCTTGGTGACTCAGACCATCATTGGGTATATCAGTGATGTACTTTGCTATGATACAGTTATATGATTTAGACCTATTTGAGGTGTATGGGGCTGTTTGCCCTTTTATTAAACAGCCCTGATGGGCTTTATTTTTTTGGAGGGGGAGTTAATCTTTATTAACTTTTCCTCTGAGGTTACAAATCTCTGCTATTAACAGTATATTTCCCTTGGGACTTCCCTGGCGGTCCAGTGGTTAGGACTCCACGCTTCCACTATGGGGGTCACAGGTTCAATCCCTGGTCAGGGAACTAAGATCCTGCATGCTGCATGGCCTGGCAAAAAAAAAAAAAACAAAAAAAAACAAAAACAAAAAACCCGGTATATTTCCCTATAGTTGTTTTTCTTCCATTCTTAATATTGGCTACTAGTAACTTTTAGACTTAAAACCAAAAAAATAGCATATGTTAAAATTGCATGTAATTTTAGAGTAAATAAGATAAAGTAGAAATGTGGGATCATTTGTAATTTGGGTAATTATTACCGAAGTGTCCTCATTAGGGATTATACCAATTTATGTTCCCAAAAGAAATGTGTAAGAGTGTTTTTTCAGTCTCAGCAATAAAATGTGTTAAACTTTGGGATTTTTTTGCCAACCATATAGGTAAACAAACAGTGTCATAGGTGCAGTTTTAATTTGCATTCCTCTTCTAATATTATAAATAAGGTTGTACATTTTTTCATATATTTATGAACCATTTGTAATTTCTTATTTGTGAACTACTCTAATCCTTTACTAAGCTTTCTGATCTTTTATTCTTATCAAGTTACAGGAGTATTTTATATATTAAGGAGATTATCCTTTTGTGTATATAAATTATAGGTACTTTTCACTTTTGTTGTTTTTCTTATGGTGGAAGTTTTTTTCCACAGCAAGATTTTCTTTTAAGCAGTTTGATTTATCAATCTCTCCTGTTATGGCTTCTGGATTTCTTAACTAGAAAAGACTTCAACATTCTAAGATTCTTTTTTTTAGTTTCCATGTGTTCTTTGACGATTTTTATGATTTCGTTTCTCACATTTAAATCTTTGATACATTTAGAATTTACCTTGATGTAAGATGAAGTGTAAATTTGTTTCCCCAATTCTCCCAACAGCATTTATTGAATAATCAGTTTTCCCCACTGGTGTGAGATGTCACTTCTCTCATATGCTCAATTCTTATATGTTTTGGGTCTATTTCTGGATTTCTATTCCATTCCAATATTCTGGCTGACTATTGATCACCAGTGTTAATTATTGAAGCCTTATAGTATGTCTTAATATCTGATAGTGTTGGTTACCCCCTCATTAATTTTCTTTTTCAGAGTTTTCCTGGCTGTTTCTATTTTTCCTATAACAATATTAGAATTTTAAAACTGGGCATATATTCGATTGAATATTAATAAATGAATAACTAAAATACAAGTCAGTCTTTCTGAAATGTCTTTTATACTTGTTCCCGGTGCTACTGTAGGTCTTTTGGAGTGGTGCTTTGGGAGCTGCTGACAGGAGAGATCCCATACAAAGATGTAGACTCTTCAGCCATTATTTGGGGTGTTGGAAGCAATAGCCTACACCTTCCAGTTCCTTCCACTTGCCCTGATGGATTCAAAATCCTTATGAAGCAGACGTGGTAAGAAATATGTTTCTCCCAATATTCTCTTTTACCTTCTTCCTCAAAACCATATTTAAAACTCTCTAAACTATATTTAAAACTGCAAGGAAGTCTCTAACGTGTATTTGGAGTGAATAACCTTACTTTGTGTAAAGTCTAGGAGACTTGGAATTTGAGAACTTTGGGTTTAAATACTTGCTCTGCCCTTTTTTATCTGTGTAATTTTGGGTATGTCATCCAAGTATCAGTTTTCTCATCTGTAAAATGGGGGTAACACCTACTCATAGAGTTGTTGTGTTATGATTAATTAAAAGTTATAAATAAAGAATTTGGTGTGATATTAGTAAATGATCTATCATTACTTTACCAGTCCTAAGGGATAATTATTATAATACAGATCCTAGAGATTTCCAGTTCATCATTAGAGGTATCTCATAATTACATTTTCCTTTTGCTCTTCAGTACATCAAAACTGCCTGAGACATAGCCACACATGGAGTCAAAAATATTTTTTATAAAGTAGAGTAAAATCTTTATCCTCCTGGACACAACTTCTCGAATGCACAAGCTATTTTTTTTTTTTTTTAACTTTTAGGCAGAGTAAACCTCGCAATCGACCTTCTTTTCGGCAGACACTCATGCATTTAGACATCGCATCTGCGGATGTACTTGCCACCCCACAAGAAACTTACTTCAAGTCTCAGGTAAGTCTGGAAACTGTCCCAGGTGCTGCTAAACAGACAGGAAACTCTCAGTGAGAAGGAGTAAGGGTATTCTGATTCTGATAGCAATTATATAACTCTTTTCATTGTGAAACAATAACGATACCTCACACGTATGACATTTTGGGAGTTTTTTAAGCCCTTAACATATATTATTCTCTTATTTGGAGATAGCATGTATTAAAATATCATCTTCCTAGTGGGTTCTGGTGAAGTTGTTGGAGAGAAAAGAGGAAAAGAGGATATGAAAACTGTATGTGCATACATTTGAATTAGAATTACTGCTGACCTTCATGAAAATATTGCTTTCCTTAAAGTTAGAAAAGCTAAAGTACAGAGGAGGAAAATTAAATCCCAGAGAGAGCCCGTTGATTAAATTAGGTTTTTCACTAACTTTAAGTGTGTCACCTAGTAGCACCAAGTAAAATATAATTTAATGTATCTGTTAGCCTTTACTCCATTACTGTCCCAAAACTTATGGCTTAAAACAATAAGCTGTTGTTTAGCTCATGATTCTGTGGGTTTGTAATCTATGCTGGGCGGTTCTTCATTTGCCTTTGACTTGGGCTCACTCACGTGTCTGCAGTCAGTTGCCAGGTTGACTGGGAGGCTGGCTGGTTCCAGATGGTCTCATTCACAAGTCCAGTGATTAGCTGGCTATTAGCTAGAACACCTCTGTTCTCCTCCACGTGGCTTCTTATCCTTCAGCAGGCTAACTTGGGCTTGTTCACATGGTCTGCTCAGGGTACCAAATGCAGTAAGAGAGCAAGCCCCAGCGCACATGTGACTTTCCAGCCTGTGTGTGCATTGTGGCTGCTAATGTCTCATTGGCCAATGCAAGTTACGGGCTAACCCAGATTGAGAAATAGATTTCACCTCTTGACAAGAGAATCTGCCGTCACATGTTGTAAGGCATGGGTGCATTACTGATAAATTTGTGACCATTAAATAAAAATGCTGTAAATGGCATAAGGATCAGCGGTCTAACCACTGTCAAGATGGATAGGGAGTTGTGAGGGATCAGTATACATGAGGTCCTTACTTACCCCTACCAGACCCAGGCAATAGCAAAAGGAGTAAAATGGGATGAAACTATGGCTTTTGAAATAATCGTGATGATCTTAAATTATAGCTTTATGCTTATAGAATTTTAAATATAGTATTACCTAGTTTCTTCTCATACAGAAGAAATTTCTTCTCACTTTCCAAAATGAATTTTTGCAAGATGAATTCCATCTCTGCATTGACTTCCAGTATGATTTCAAAGATTCATTTTCAGAGAATTTCTTCTCAGAGAAGAAATATTATTACCAATTAGTGTCTCAGTCTACTCCTAATAGCCCCCAACTCCAATGGGTGATGAGTTTACCTACCAGGAAAGTATGCATTGAAAGCAAACTGGACTGGGAGGGGCATCATCCCTGGGAGTTAAACAAGTCCTCCAATATGCTTTATTACCTGGCCCAACCAGAGGCTTGGAGTACTTGCTTCTCTGGTGTCTAATAAACAGAGAGATATTCTGCCTATCAGATATTGGGGAATATCTTAATTAAGGGACAAGGTCTTTGCAGTTTCTAAGGAATAATAAATCAGAGACCTTTCCTCTATTGCCTGAAGTTCTAACATGCTATGACCCACAAACTTAGCTCTCCCCACACTGTCTTTGAATAGTCTGGCTTGCCCCTATAGTTTTTTAGTGTTTCTGGGGGATTCTTATGTAAGTAAAGTGTTTGATTTTAGAGAAAATAAGAGGATAACTTCACGACATTTCCTATGTTCTTTGATATGCATTCAGGTAAATTCCCTTAGAACTATTAAAACTATTGCCTATCTATACAAATACATGTAGGTATTGGTTACTGGATTAGAAGTCTTTCATATATTTTCTTTTGTTAAGAAGAAGACTTAAGTCCTCTTGTGAAATGAAAGAGAATAATAGTGAGTACTCTCTAGGAAATTTTTCAGACTTTAAGATATGGTTACAATCACAGCGTTGCTTCCTTTACAAGAAAACTATAAGTACCACAATTTTGAAAAGCAATTTTTGGTGAGAATACTAAGCCACAAGCCATTGAGAGTATAACTGTACATACTTGGAAGACATCAAATTCTAAACAGATGCTACTTGTGTGCTCCCAGAATATCACTTCTGAAGCCAGCGCCATACTTTCTGAATACCCACCATATATATAAAACACTGTGTAGTACAACTAAGTCCCCACAGTTAGTATCCTTACTTGTGTAAATTCACTTTTATTAATCTATGCAGCATTAAGATTAAACTCAGAGAAGGTTCTCTGAGAGCAAGAGTATGAAAAGGAGAGGAAGGGGAGGAAAAGGAATAGAAGGGAAAAACAGTGCATTGGACATCTTTTAATATTCGTAAATTCTACCACATTTTTCTCCCAGCATAAAATTTTACCTCTCCTTAAATAGTTCAAAATACCCTTGCTAGTTCCTAAAATCTTTCGGGTATTTACAAGCTGATTTGTTTCTGGGTCTGAAATTCAGACTATCTCTGGCTAATGATAATAAAGTATTGGGTTGGCCAAAAAGTTCGTTTGGGTTTTTCCCGAATGAAAACCCATCTTACGGAAAAACCCGAATGAAATTTTTGGCCAACCCAATATTTATGGACTAACGAGGGAGGTACTGGGAAAAGTAACAGATTTTGAGCGTAAACCCCTGTCCTGTGACCTTGGATAAGTCACTAAATTTCCCTAAACCTCAGCTTACTCATCTAAACAATGAGGATAACCATATCTTCCCTTCCTTGTGGAGTTTTGGTGAGGATCAAATAAGATAATAAACATGCAAGTGCATTATAAACTGTAAAGAACTGTTTGATTGTTAAGATATTATTATTCACCTCCCACAAAGCTATAAAAAGTAAGCCTCCTTGGAGGTGTTACATTCTGGATACTTTTTCTTTCTTTTTTTAAGACCCATTTATCCTTGTTTTTATTATTAGAAATGGGAAAATGGTTATTTACTGGTTGCTAATTATAAAGAAGATGGGCTGCTATTTGAGGAATGGGTATTTAATATATGTGAGAAGCACTGGTCTTTGAGTCTGGGGACCTGGATTCTGGTCACCATTACACCATTAATGTGGATGAGTAATTGGATGCCATTGGGCCTCTATTTTCCCTCTATATATGGCAATGTCTGCCATATATCTCAGACATGTTTATAAAAATCTAGTAACTAAAGTCCTTGGTATTTGCTGCTACTATAGAAAGGAAAAAGTTACATAGGAAGCTAGAAATAAAATTACCTAGGACATCTCAAACTCTAATTGGGAATTTAAGATTGAGAGTTTTTTTAAGTCATGTTATTCTGTATAATCTACAAACATAAAATACATCCTTTTTACTTGTACAATTTGATGTGTCTTGGCAAATATATACACCACAAACAAGATACAGAATATTTTCATCATTCCAACTTTCTCCACGACCTTTTGTATCCAGTCCCTACCTCCCAGCCCCAGTCCTTGCTAAAAAGATATCTGTCTTCTATTCCTATGGTTTTGTATTTTCCAGAATGTCATATAAATGGAATAATATGATATGTAGGCTTTTGTGCCTGTCTTCGTTCACTTAGCATAATGCATTTGAGATTTGTCCATGTTGTGGTACATATCAATAATTCATTCCTTTTATTGCTAAGTATATGCCACTGTAGAGATTCTGGGTACTTTTTCTGATGAACTCCTGAGATGGATAAGATGGCAGCTAGGGAGCTCCATCCACAATTAAATTCCTATTTAAATTAAATTCCTATTTAATTCCACAATTAAATAGGAATTAATTGTCTTTTGACTTTATCCTCCCTCAATGGGCAAGAACTAGTTTTTTAGCACATAGTTTTGCTTTTCGATAGCACTTTTATACCTGCGGCCTCGCCTCCTGCCTGCTGACCAAACCCTTTCCTCATCAGTCATCCATCAATGGTTATTAGCTGCTGGTCGCCACCTTCCCCCGGAACTGTCAGTCAAGAGCGCTGACAAGAGCCCAGCTGACGCCTTCCTGAGAGAAAATGCTTCATCTGTTTCTCATCAACAGCACATGTATAAGGAAACAGCATATATAGAACAGATGAACAAAGCAACCAGTTTCAGTACAATATTAGATTCTGCCAAAGCTATTGCTTCATTCCTAGACAATAACCCATTTCTCCAAGTAGGCAATTATTGCTCCTGGTATTCAATTACATTTGGTATGCGTTTTTAAAAAACATTTTAGCCTGGTCCCAGATCCCAGCTGCTAGGTACATCACGTGCCCTGCTTCTGAGCTCTTCCACAACCCTCTGTCTTTGCACCATTCTAGTTTCCTTTTGAGTGCCACCATGACCACCCAGAAATTCAGGGGCTGGGAGTTGCAGAGACAGATAGCTCATTATAGGGACAGACTCTTCTACCTTAAGAGTAATTTCAGGGCTTCCCTGGTGGCGCAGTGGTTGAGAGTCCGCCTGCCAATGCAGGGGACGCGGGTTCGTGCCCCGGTCCGGGAAGATCCCACATGCCGCCGAGCGGCTGGGCCCGTGAGCCATGGCCGCTGGGCTTGCGCATCCAGAGCCGGTGCTCCGCAACGGGAGAGGCCACAACAGTGAGGGCCCCGCGTACAAAAAAAAAAAAAAAAAAAAAGAGTAATTTCATTGGGGGCTTCCCTGGTGGCACAGTGGTTGAGAATCTGCCTGCCAATGCAGGGAACACGGGTTCCATCCCTGGTCTGGGAAGATTCCACATGCCGCGGAGCAACTAGGCTCGTGAGCTACAACTACTGAGCCTGCGTGTCTGGAGCCTGTGCTCCGCAACAAGAGAGGCCACGATAGTGAGAGGCCCACGCACCACGATGAAGAGTGGCCCCCACTCGCCACAGCTAGAGAAAGCCCTCGCACAGAAACGAAGACCCAACACAGCCAAAAATAAAAATAAATAAAATAAATAAATTTTAAAAAAGAGTAATTTCATCATGAGCAAGTAGGCGCTTAGGCACAAGCTGGGCACTTACGTGGGGAGACAGTAAAGTGGACTCATACCAATCAAGATTTGGACTTGACAACCTCTAAGACCTTTCTGACTCAGAATCTATGTTTTCCCACTACTTAGCCCCTCAACATCCTGCTTCTCTATTCCTCAAGCTAGGCTGGAGCTGGCTCAACTTCTTTTTTTACTTTATAAAAATTGTGGTAAAAAATATATATAATTTGCCATTTTGACCATTTTTAAATATACAGTTCAGTGGCATAAATTACATTCACAATGTTATGAAACTGTCACCATTATCTATTTTCAAAATTTCTCACTACCTCATTAAGCAATAACTTCCCATTCTGTCTTCCCCCACAGCCCCTGGTAATCTCTGTTCTACTTTCTATCTCTATGAATTTGCCTATTCTAGATATTTCATGGAAGTAGAATCATACAGTAGTTGTCTTTTTGTGTCAGGTTGGTTTCATTTAGCATGTTTTCAAGGTTTATCTATTTTGTAGCATATGTCACAACTTCATTCCTTTTTATGACTAAATAATATTCTACTGTATGGATATACCCTATTTTATTTATCCATTGATATATTAATTCAGCTTCATTTTGACACATATTATGAGAGAGAAGAGAAGCAAGGTTTGGGTACAAGAGCTTCAGTCTACTGATTGAATAACTGAAAGACTGGAGAAGACAAAAACCTTCTAGATGTTACAGCCTTTCCCAGGCCTTATGTGGGTTATAAAGAGGATTCCATTCATGACAGTAACCCAACTGTCACTGTATTTTTCCCTTACCTGCTTACACAGGACTTAAGTACCTTGTGAAGCACTGCATACTCCCTCCCTCCACCCTACAAGCAGTTTGGGGGAATCCCCAGTAACGAGTCTTAGGGGGGGATCTCAAACAGCCTCATATTAATGTCTGCCCTACTTTCCAGTGACTCTGGCTGGGACAGCACTCTTCCACCAAGCATCTTCTGGGTATTACTTTATTGGTTAGTACTGTTTTCTGCTGAAAGGCTGTAGTCCCCAGCTGGCATCCAGTGGATGCTGCCGTATCCTTAAGGCAGTGCCATCACCCACCAGGAGCTGCTATTTTATGGAGAAGCTCTGGACTTCTCCATATTCCAAAGTTGCACATTGTTCTGTTTATGCAATGAATTGTTCCTTTCCCTGTTGAGTTACATTTTGTTAAAGGTCGCAGAATAGTGCTGATTATGGCCCAAAATTTTACAGATATTAGTGGAACAAATGGGAAATGCCTCTCCACTCCTATGTTGATGGCTTTGTTATAGGTCAAGATCACACAGGATTCCTTCTTCCCTCATATTTTCTTTCATAGACTCCTTAATCTCTGTGCAAATTGGCTTCAGCCTGCCCACCTCCATTTCTTAGTTATGCCCAGAAATGTCTAAATTGCAGATTAAGTGCAAATTGGAACTCCTATTACATAAAGATTCTAAGTATAGTGATGGAACTCCAAAATTAACATCTACCTGTAACACAGTACCTTTGGGGAAAACACATTATTAATCAGTACCTGGTGTTTTCCCACAGAGGGAACTTCTTTTGGGAAATCTACTTTCTTAATAAGTTTCAATCTTCAGAAGGTTTTCTTTAAGTTTCACATTCCCGTAAGCTAGATGTCAGGAGGTTTATTTCCTCTGGAATTTAAAAAATCCGATCTGTGATATCTGATTCCTTACTGCCAGAGGGAGGTATTCCTTTTCCTGGTCCCTTCTTTAAGTGCTGGCGTAGAATCTACTGACATGTTTTTCACAAAAGAGGATGCTTTAAGGCCCACATTTGGCCCTCTCCCTTATCCTTCTTAGGTCCAACAACTCTTGATTTTCATCTTTGGCCTCTTAAAGCTCAAATGCTCTTCCTACTTCATGACTTTGATCTGATGGCTGAGAGAACAGCATTACCTGGGGCTCAGCCAAACCTGCATTTACTGCTTAGATACAGTCAAAGACTGTTACCAAACAATGGACAGTGCATTCTAGAGCTCCGCTCTTTGATGACGTCGGCTGTCAGGTTTGATGCCCGAAAGTCAACTGACTAACAGAAATATCTCCCCAATGGTCAGTCAACATATATATATGTGAAGATCTAACGTATTATAAACAGATAAGTAGGATGACCACTTTCTAAATAATTGCAATATAATTTCCTCTATAAAAATAAATGAAGGACTTCCCTGGCGGTCCAGTGGTTGAGACTTTGCCTTCCAGTGCAGGGGGTGTGGGTTCGATCCCTGGTTGGGGAGTAAGATCCCACATGCCTCGCAGCCAAAAAACCAAAATGTAAAACAGAAGCAATATTGTAGCAAATTCAATCAAGACTTTTTTAAAAAATGAGAAACAGCAAATTCGGGGAGAAACTTCTGTAACTTCACAACTACTTAAGCATAACTTCTTCCATGATCTAGAGAGATCATTTTTAACATGAATCTGAAAGTAACAGAATAGCTCTAGAAGAAGATGATGCAATTAGAAACATTTGGTTACATATCTAGCCTTCACTAGAAATTATTTTAGATAATCTCATTAGCTTCTTGGGATAGTAGTGTGTACATAATTTGAGGAAGCGTCTTCTTTAGCTGCTTTTCTAGAAATGGTCTGTAGACTATATTCCTGCAGAGATGTTCCTACCTCCTAAAATTTAGATAAATTGGTCTGAAATTCAATGCCCTATGGAAAGTCCAATGTCCTTTCTAATACTTCTGTGAATTCCTGGGAGATTTATAATTTCATGGACACTTTGACTCTGTTTGCTTGGGTCCCCATTCCTGCCATCTTTTGGTTGTTCCTTTATCTTTTTCCTGTCTTTGACCTAAGCATGAAGTTCAGCACCTTTCCTTGATTTAAAAAAACAAAACAGAACAAATAGAAACACTCATCCAAAGTCAAGGTGAAAGAGGCTTTACTAAAGGTTTAGGAACTTGGAAGAGGCTTACATTTTGAACAACTTAAATCACACATTAGATATCCATCCCTCTCCTAAAATTTTTGTCAGACTACTAAAATTTTTGGCCGTGCTCTTTCTCCTCCTTCCCCTTCTCTCTTTTCTTTTCTTTCCCCCACCTCCAAATTCCCGTATAATTCCCCATATTTTTATCCCCATCTCCTGCTGTTCTTGCCCCTTGGATCTTCTATTCCAAATATTTTCTCAAGATATTTTCATAAACAAAGCCTAGGAGGAATTCTGGTCCAAATGTAAAGACGATCATATTGTCACTGACACATGCTTGTACCATGTGGTTATCAGAGCTGTTCTTTCTAGCCAGGCTCTCTCAGCCACCATCCTGACTTAAAATTGAGCTCTTTTGTTCCGGAGATGATGGCTAGCATGCCAGCTGTGATGTTTCTTTTGGTTAGTACTGAAAGAAAATTAGAAAAGACAGCACTGAGTACTGGACTAAATACAGAAAATGGGGTGAGGAGTGGGGTGGGGTGTGCAGATACACTAGCATGAGATATTTTGCTATCAAAGAACATTTATTGAACATCTATTCTATAAGGCTGTTTAGTAGAAGCATACAGGGGGGAAAATCTTGTACATGATCCTATGGTTATATCAGGGATTAAAACTCCTGGACTATTAACAAAATCTAATTTGTCCTTGCCTAGGCTGAATGGAGAGAAGAAGTAAAAAAACACTTTGAGAAGATCAAAAGTGAAGGAACTTGTATCCACCGATTAGATGAAGAACTGATTCGAAGGCGCAGAGAAGAGCTCAGGTCAGCTGATGTCTCCTACTTCACCTCTTCTCATTCCCAGGTCTTCAGATATTAGCAGGAACCCTTGTTGTGAATCATTTCATTTTCTACACACCTTGCACTTCTGCTGGTTATTGTTATTCTCTTTAAAAGTTGGTCCTCCCTTATATCACTTTTTTATCGCTTCCCCCCCCCCACCTCTGTTATCCTCCTTTATTATATCTCTGCAACAAAGATTCCTGGAGCAATGCTATTTGTTTATTCAGCCGCTGTCCTAGGTAACATGAAAGGTCAGAAGTTTATAAGATGTAGTCCCTGGCCTCAAGAGGCTCATAATCTGTCAAGGGATAGAACACATGTTTTCAGATAACCACTAGATTAGACAGGATCTGTAGTGTGGATAAGTATAAATGAGTGATGAGTGACCGTGCTTTAACTGCGTATTTCCCTTAACATATATTATACTGTATTCTTATTAAGATATTGCCAATACTGCACAGACAAAGGCTGTACATTATACATAAATTGCATTCAGTTTTATCTGTAGCCCTCCTGGCTATCCTATATGGCTGGATATGACCCTTAACAATCAACTAAGTGGAAAACTTGGATTTCCCATCTCCCACTCACTCTTGTCTGAGTCTTTGCATCGGACAAGGGAGTCTTAAATTTAGAGGGCCCTTGGGCAAATGCTTTTGAGATAAACCACCCTGTTCTTGTTTCATTAGAGCTGACCTTAGTTCTCCCTCACATTCATCGGCTTCACTGCTTCCGTGTTTTCTTTGATAGGCATGCTTTGGATATTCGTGAGCACTATGAGAGGAAACTTGAGCGGGCTAATAATTTATACATGGAACTGAGTGCCATCATGCTGCAGCTAGAAATGCGGGAGAAGGAGCTAATCAAGTATGTATCCAGACCACTGTGTCCTGACTGATTTGGGTCTACCCTTTGGCTGAAATGTACGACTCGTCCAGGTTGCTGCTACTCAGAACTGGCAGCTATTTTATTTGTCCACCCAGCCTTCCTTAGGGCATGTGCCGGGCACAGGTCCCCGCCCCGGTGAGGCTTACAGCTGAGTGGAGCTGCCACAGAGCTGGTTCTAGGGGACTATGCGCTTGACAAGCCTTTGCAACTTCAACCTGCCGAATGGCTCAGGAAAGGGGTCCTCATTTCAAGAAGAGCCTGGATGGGAGCTTCCTGCCCCCTGGGGAAGTAAGGCAGCTGCTGCAAGTGGTTCAGGGTATCCCTGAGAATGGTGAGAAACCCTGGGGTCCTGGCTAAAACAGCCACTGCTGTGTGTCTCATGAGGCATGCTGGGGACAGGAGGGCTGGCCTCCAAGTCCATCTGCGACCTGAAGAAAAAAATGAAGTCAGGTTAGTTTGAATTTTTTTTTTTTTCCTTTTTAACCTGAAGAGCCGCCTTGCTATTCTTCAGATAGCCTGTATCTGTTAAGTGTGGCCAGAATCTCTGGGTGGAGTTAACCTGTGAAAACATTCTGCCCAACTTTTCTGTCTGCGGTGAATGAGACATAGCTTTTTCTTTCATTCTTCAGGCGTGAGCAAGCAGTGGAGAAGAAGTATCCTGGGACCTACAAACGACATCCTGTCCGTCCAATAATCCACCCTAATGCCATGGAGAAACTCATGAAGAGGAAAGGTGTGCCTCACAGACCTGGGATGCAGGCCAAGCGGTGAGCACCTGTACTGACCTGATATTCAGATGAATGGGGAAACATGCCCCTAAAATACATGATTAGATGATGGTGGGTGTGGCCACACGGTACCACGTCGTCAGCGCACTTGCCTCTAGATATGGCCTGGGCAGGTGGGAGAGAGTGTGTCATGGACTCCAGGAATCTAGTTTTTACTGTCTGAGGCTTTGATGTTTATTACCTTAGCGTGGAATAATGAAAAGAGAAATGAACTGGGGGCCAAACAGACCTGGATTCAAATACTGGCTCTGCCTATTAGAAGCTGTGTGATTTGGATCATGTCACTTGACCACTCTCAACCCCATGGGTAAAACGGTGTAACTATAGCACGTGAGATTTCTTTTTCTTTTTTTGACCCCTAGTGCACAGAAGTGAGTTCACCATAATTCTTGATTTATGCAACATTGGTCCATGCATGTCCCACTTTTATTTATTCATTTAGTTAGTTCTTTTTAATAATGTGATAAGTGCCTGTAAATCCACCACCAAAAACAAAAGCAGGCACTTTGATAATTACCTGTGTCTAACCATATAGTTCCCCTCATCCCACTACTGTGTGGAACTTTCGTGAGGTTTAAATAAGACAACGTGTGAAATCACCTAGGAAATCATAGTTGCTCAAAAAAAAAATGGGTTTTTTAATTGTTTTAAAAGATGCCCTTTCCCCTAATTATAACACATTTTCCTTATATTAGTTTAATTTTAGAATGCTCCTCCAGTCAGTTTTTATTACCAGACTCTGCTAGAGCCTCATTCCTCCCAAGGAATAGAGTTGACCCTATCCTAAATTAAAGCAAAAGAAGGAAATATCCCTTAACCTGGGTTGTAGACCCAGCAGTGAGACTTGAGCTAAATGCAGGAAGAGTAAAGACAGTGAGAAAATGCAAACCAAGCGTGTATTTTAAGGCTTTCAGAACAGTGACCATTCCAGCACAGCATGACTAACATAAATCTAAACTACTGAGGGATAACTACATGGATTCATTCCAGTTTTGCTTTTACTGACCATCTTCTGGTCAAGCTCTGAGAAATTGTTTTCAGTTGGCACCCGGCAAAACCTTCCAGGAATCCCAGCACCTCTCTTCTTTTGGTGTACAAACGAGGCACAGACTTCACCTGCTGGCTCCTCCCTGCAGTCTGCCGACAGTTAAAACAAAGAGCACTTTGGGAGAAAATAGTACTGTTTAATTTTTCACAGTGTGAGCTTGTGTTTACTTTTATTTCGCCTGTGAGAAATGCATTTGAAAGAGTTTGACAGCACCAGTAGATGCTTAGTCAGTGAGCTGAACTCGTCTGGAAAGGCAACCCGGAGTAGGTATTAGAGTTGCAGAGAGCTATACTTTCAGTTGATTGCCCCTTAAAGGATTTACGTTTCAGATTACTTGGACAGTCCAGTGATTAGGGAGTCAGAAGGTCAATGCCCACTGAGGCGATCAGAGAGGAGAAACCATCCACTATCCTTTAGCCTTGGTTTCAGTTTGTGTTTAGTTAGGGACTGAAAAGAGAGTCGGAGTACAGTGATGGACCCACCAAGCCCATCACAAGTGAGTATAGTCTAATAAGATAATCTAAATACTTCATTATATGGAGAAGCTTGGAATGGAGGAAGAACTATTTCTCGGTGTCCAAAAACTTGGCTTCAAGTTGTGAGTTTTGCCATTTACTAGCTTTGTGAGAGACACAAGCCAGCTAAGTTACCCTCTGATCCCTCAGTGCCCTCATCTGTAACATGGATATTGTAATGGTAGGAAACTTGTGTTTTATATATTGTAAATTGCTTTGTCAACTGTGAAGTGCTGTCTCAGCGTTATTCTTTGATTTTTTGCACGGCCAGGTTCAATAAACGCAGCCTTTACGTGACTTAGTGGCACTTTCACCTTAGCTTTCTTTTAGATCCCGCCATAGCCAGTTACTGTGTAAGTATTGATAGATGCCCTAACTGGGCCTTGGAGGGCTCTCTTTCCTCAATAAAAAGCCCCAGGACCTCCTCGATCCAGATGCCTTCTGTGCCACAAGTTGGCCAGCTGACCACAAAGCTGTGAATCTGAGACAGGAAGATGCTGACAGCAGCACAGTACCCTACCCGCCTCATCATAAACCAATTATACCTGGAACTTCTGTGCTAAGACAAGCCTTTAACTGAACTTCTCCTGAAAGAGAAGAAAAACCCATCTCCTATTGCCTGATGCCTACTGATTTCCTGTGAGGCTCTTCAAAATGTAGTCCTTAGTTCAGCATCATCTGAGAGCGTGGCTGCTAAATGCAGGCTCTTAGGCCCCATCCCAGACATCCCAGTGCAGTCATTTCAACAAGCTTCCAAGTGATTTGTATGCACCTTCAAGCTGTATTCTGACGTCCAACAAGCCAGACTGTCAAGTAGGAGAGACTTCTTGTCTGGATTCTAATAGTAATGAGCTGTGAGACCAGGAGCCACTTTGGCTGGGGTTTGGGTTCTTCATCACATAGGATGAAGGCAGGACTGCATCTGTGGTTTCCTTACAAGGTCTGGGACCCCCTAGGGCCTGAATAGAGGTGTCTCTGAGGCCACTGCAGGGGTAGAGAGGACAAGGAGGGGGAGCCCCATGGGAGGGGCTTCTGCTCTCCCTCCTCTCTTCAACTGTTCTACTATATCTGGGTTTGGGTTTTTTAAGATATAATTGACATGTAACATTATATTAATTTCAGGTGTACAACATAATGATTCAACATATGTGTATATTACAAAATGATCACCAAAATAAGTTTGGTTAACATCTATCACCACACACAGTTACAAATTATTTTTCCTTGTGACGAGAACTTTTAAGATGTACTCTCTTAGCAAATTTCAAATATCCAATACAGTATTATTAACTATAGTTACCATGCTGTACATTACATCCCATGACTTATTTATGTCCTAATTGGAAGTTTGTACCTTTGACCCCCTTCACCCATATCGCCCACCCCCTATTCCCACCCCCACCTCTGGCAGCCACCAATCTGTTCTCTTACTGTATCTATTTTATATATTGGGTTTCTCATAATTCATCTGAGTAAAGGATTCTGTTGGTTTTTTTAAAAAAAAAAAAAAAAAAGAGTTTGGGCCCTCCAGCTCTGAAATCTCCAGCTGATTTGTGTCTGTCTGGTCCGAAAGAAGGGTAGGGCTACTCTTTGGGGGGAAGGAGGTAGCGATACTACCTGGCATCTTAGATTCTCTGCCCTGAATCAGTTCTTCAGTTTAGAAATCATTTATTGGTTGCCTGTGTGCCTTGGTGTTGGTGTGTGTAAGGTTTACCTGCAGGCTCTGGGTTCCTCCTGCACATGAGCCACGTGACTAGCCCAGTGGGCTGAGAGAGGCCCTCCTCCCTTTAGGAACACGGTAGAATACCAGGTCGTTCCACATGAGCCCTTCTCTTACTGGCTCTACGCAACCTCCTGGGCTCTCTATTAATTCCCCCTCCTCTACTGCCACCCCCTTCGGCCCCTTCCTGAAACATTTATTGAGTACCTACTGTGAGCAAGACTCCTTGCTAGTGTCCTCCACATGCAAAGGTGGATATGACTTAGTAGCAGCCCTCAAGGGGACCATGTCTAGACGAAACTCCCTGAATTTAGCTTCTTGTCTAATTAACTGAGGTTTTCTTCTCTGGTCCCAGACCTCTGTCCTTTGTGATCCCTCATGGGATCCATCACCAGACAGATTTCTGATCGTGAGCAAACACCCATGCCTGTGCCTTGGCATACTGGCACCAAGCTGAGAGCTGATACTATGAGGAAGAGGTCAAGAAGCCTGTAGGGTAAAATTAGAATTTAAAGGAGTTTGAGTACTCAGCTAGTGAAGCACAGAATAAAATCCAGAAGGAATAAAGGGAATCCTCTGTAAGTGGACATTAGGTTGTTTCTAGCTTTCTGCTCTTTTAAACAATGCTTTAACATAACATCTTCCAACATACATCTTTGTGCACATCCGTTATCTCCACTGTATAAATCCCTGTGTATGTAACTGCTGATTCAAAGATTATGTGTATTTTAAGGCCTGGGATACATTTCCCCAAACTTGAATGTGTCTTCATGTGTTTAAAACCAAACCTGTTCTTTTCTCCCAGGCCAGATCTGTTGAGATCTGAAGGTATCCCCAGTGTGGAAGTGGCTCCCACTGCATCCCCTTTGTCCGGAAGTCCCAAAATGTCCACCTCCAGCAGCAAGAGCCGATATCGGAGCAAACCACGCCACCGCCGCGGGAGTAGCCGAGGCAGCCATAGTGACTTTGCGGCGATCTTAAAAAGCCAGCCAGCCCGGGAAAATTCACCCCATCCCACTTACCTGCACCAGGCTCAGTCCGAATACCCTTCTCCCCATCACCGTAGTCCTCTGCAGCAGCAACACCAGCAACCCCCTCCTGCCACGTCTCAGAGTCACCGTCCCAGACTCGATATGCACGGACAGGACGTTGCAACCTGCGCCAACAACCTGAGGTATTTTGGCCCCGCGGCGGCCCTACGGAGCCCACTCAGCAGCCATGCTCAAAGACAGATGCCTGGCTCCAGCCCTGACCTCATCTCCACAGCCGTGGCAGCAGATTGCTGGAAAAGTTCTGAGCCCGACAAGGGCCAGGCTGGCCCCTGGGGCTGTTGTCAGGCTGACCCCTATGACCCCTGCCTCCAGCGCAGGCCAGAACAGCATGGGTCTGTAGACGTCCCCTCTGCCAATCCCGTGGGGAGGAACCCCAACCTTTTCAAGCCACCAGCACACAATCCCCTCTCGGAAAATGCCCAAGGTTCTGAGAAAATGGAAGAAAAGGAATTCAGCGGCTGTGGGTCTGCATCATCCCTCAACACCTCTCATCACATCACCCCCCCAGCGCTACCTCGAAAAACAAGACCCCTTCAGAAGGTAAGGTGTGATGACAGCCGCAGTGTGTGTCACTGCCTGCAAGGAATGTCAGAGCCTGTCATATTCTATGCAGTATAAAACGTACATAAAAAATACGCATTTTGTAAAAGGAGGAGATAACAAAAGCATAAATAGCAGTTTACTTACTTTTAATACTTTCCACGCTGCTTAAGTGATGGACTAAGGCGTACACTTTGGAAACTCCTGAATCAGGGGACTGATTCAAATGTAGATAATTTATCAATGAAAAATAGCCATATGTTAGTAACATGTCATCAAAATAGTTTGGAATCCGCTACTCTAGCCTAGTCCTAAGGGATGTAGCAAGAAGGAAGTCTCCCATTATAAAACATGTTTGGGAAACAGTATTCTCTGTCCCCTCTTGGAGCTTCCTAAGCTCACATTAACAAATCCTAGGCTTTGAGAAATCATGCAATAACCTTGTTTAATCCAGCACCTCCCTCACCTGTGTGACCGTATTGCCTTTTTAAAATAACATCTATTAATCCCCCATGGAACTAGCTTTCTTCACAGTATCGCCTTAATTAATAACCGTCATGATCCAGCTGGTTCTCAGTCACTGAAACCTGTTCCTCGCCCACTGGCTGCCTGTGGTTTATTAGCTGGGAGGCGGACTACCTCTCCTCCCTTGTGGGTAAGAGCCCAAACTTGGCAGTCAGACCTGAGTTCAAAGCCAGGCTCTTCCACTTATTACCTTTATGAACATCGGTTTCTAATCTATGAAATGGGGCTAATAGTGGACCCTGTCTCATTGGTCGATGTGAAGATTAAATGAGTTAATACATATAAAGCATTTAGAACAGGACCTGGCACATAGCAACCTTCCAAAAATGTGAGCTCATCTTGCTAATGTGTTAAAAATAACACTATGTATGAAAAGTATTTAGCACAGAAAAAACACCCACTCAATTCTAACTACTGTTTCATATCATCATCGTTCATCAGAAGTTCAGTTGAAGGAATGAAAATGTCTAAAATGTAAATGAGGATGTTTTGGTCAACTAGACATTTACTAGAAAAGAAGTTGAATCTGAAGGCCACTGTCTCAGAACTGTATTTCTTCCTCCACTTACAGGGCTGCTATTGACTGAGCTTTCCCAGAAATAAATTGTGTTTCAGGTAGTGCAGTGGATTTGGGCTAAGTCAGTCTCTGCTCCTCTGACCCCTAAAGCCAATAACATAATTTTTTCGTAACAACTTTATTGAGGTACAATTCACATACCACACAGTTCTCCCATTTAAAGTGTATAACTCAGTTCTTTCTCTCGAGTTGTGCAGCCATCACCACAACTAATTTTAGAATATTTCCATCACCCCAAAAAGAAACCCTGCACCCTTTAGCAATCACCCCATTCCCCCGTCCCCTCCCAAGTAACATGTATCTTTGAACCATCCTGATGCCATTTTGAGGCATCCGTGGGTCTGCAGGCCACGGAACACATCCCTTCTACTTTTGACCTCACTAAAACCACACTCCCACAGAGCAGCTTAACTTCTGTCTGCTGAGATACACTCCCACGGGTCTTCTAGGGGGAAGCACTCATCTCCACAGTCAGGATAACTCCATCCCTGTCTTTCCTACGCAAAAAAGCAGATCAGAATACAAATGGGTAAAAGTGATGGATTGTCAGAAATGACTTTAAAGGTAAATTATCCTCAATTTTTGGTACAGTTATTTGGACCCACTTACCCACCTCACAAGGGATTGTAGTAATCCCGTGCATTAATGACAGTTGATCTGAAGTGGGGCTGTTCCTATGCCCTGGAAGGGAAATGGAATCTTCCCTCACAGGGAAGATCCTGTTCTCAGATGGGACACTTACCCACCCTTCCAGATCAACCACAGAGCCCCAGCAATGATGAGGCCTCAGATGTCCCAACCAGAGTTCTCTTATCTGTGCCCACATGCTGACTCAGTCATGTGCTAAGCACCTACCTTGTATGCAGTGTTGTATTAATGGTGGAGGAGGAATACAGTACAACAAGATGGGGTCTGACCCTAAATAATGTATGTCTTAGTAGTAGAGATGATGTAAGCATAATAACTATAATATTAGTGAAAAGGTGATTGGTACATAAAAGGGGAAAAAGTAGTTGTTGGGCTTTGAAGAACTAAAAGATCACCTCTTATTGGAGTCTCTATATCAGAGCCTAGAACCACAAGTGACAATGGTTACAAGACACCACCCCAAAATCCAAGACCTCTTCTCCAGTTTCCCCTCTTCAAGTTCAGGGCCTTTCATCATGGACACCCAGGGAAAATTGCTAAATGAATGAAGAGATATATGTTTAAAAATGACAGCAAGCTACCACTCAATGTCTTTGATGAAAATTAAATCTTTTACAGGGACTGTGTGCGTGTGTGCGTGTGTGTGTGTGTGTGTGTGTGTGTGTGTGTAAGAGAGAGAGAGAAAGAGAAATAAGACTCTTCCCTCCTTGTTCTCCTCAGAGTGGAGATGACTCCTCTGAAGAGGAAGAAGGGGAAGTAGATAGTGAAGTTGAATTTCCACGAAGACAGAGGTAAAACCAATAAACACATGTGATTGCCTTCAGTGTAATCAGGGAAAATCCTGAGTTTGCCCTCCGGTTCGATCACAGGCTGCTTTCTAACAGCCAGCTTGTAGGGAAGTTGGAACCTACCATTGCCCATTTTGGCAGCTGGCTATGCACAGCAGATTCTAGTTTATCCAAATTCACTAGATAGGAACTGCAAGATGGGGAAAATAAATATGGATCCAAGGTTATAACTGACAACATAGTGGGCAGTTTATGAGAGATGGCTGTGCTGTTTTATGGGTAATTTTACTGATTTCTAGTGTACCTCCCTATATTAGTCTGCTCAGGCTGCCATAACAAAATACCACAGACTGGGTGGCTTAAACAATGGAAATTTATTTCTCCCACTTCTGGAGGCTGGGAAGTCCAAGTCCAAGGTTCCTGGTGAGAACTCTCTTCCCGGCTTGCAGACAGCAGCCTTCTTGCTGTGTCCTCACGTGGTGGGGGAGAGAGAGAGAGATCTTCATCTTATAAGGCCACAGACCTGTCAGATTAGGGCCCCACCCATATGACCTCATTTAACCTTAATTACCTCTTAAAGACCCTCTCTCCAGATTCAGTCACATTGTAGGTAAGGCTTCAACATATGAATTTTGGGAGGATGCAATTAAATCCATAGCACTCTCCATGCCTTGGGTTTTATACCTGAAATTAAGTATAATTAAATGAGTCGAGTCCTCCTTCAACCCATCCTTAGAAATAGCTTCCTGCCTAGCCAGCAACAATAACTTTGCTTATAGGACTAAAGAAGGACCACACCTCTCATTTCTAGAATTAAGAGCTGCCCTTTTGTAGAAGTATGGAAGGTAGTCTTCCTCCCAGGAGGCCTTTTCTGCTACTAGGCATCTGTTTTTGAAGAGGAAGCCTTTAAGAATCCCCCAGGAACGTTTGTGTACCTACCCAGAACCAGGAATTTCCTAAAACCAAGGGACTTCTAGTACTTTGGTAAAGTGTACTCCAGGTCCCTATGCTGTACACAAAATTGAAATCTGTCCTCATCCCCTGAGCTATTCCTACCACATTGCCATTGCTGTCTTGTTGTTTCCTTGGACGCTGTGTTTTCTCCTATGCAGGGACATTGAGCCCAAATAAAATGTCTTTTCATCCTCTGACCTCATTCTACAGGCATCACAATTATGTTACGTCCAGCTTTTGTTCTTATGACCACCATTAACTCAGCCCACCTGGTGGCTTCCCACCTTTCTTCCTTGCTATGATGCAAAATTTTGGTTTTACCTCACGGTTTTGCTTTTAGTATTACAACATTCTTCTCTCTGTCTCCCTTCTGCATTACCAGACTTTCTTTCTTTCTTTCTCTCTTTCTTTGTTGGATCTTCATTGCTGCACGCGGGCTTTCTCTAGTTGCGGTGTGCAGGCTTCTCATTGCAGTGGCTTGTTGCGGAACACAGGCTCTAGGCGCGCAGGCTCAGTAGTTGTGGTGCAGGGGCTTAGTTGCTCCGCGACATGTGGGATCTTCCCGGACCAGGGCTCAAACCCGTGTCCCCTGCATTAGCAGGCGGTTTCTCAACCACTGCGCCACCAGGGAAGCCCCTGGATTACTAGCCTTGAGAAGGTGTGAGTCCTACTTTAACTTTCGTTTCCCACATGGGCTTCCTCCATCTGGCCTCTTTTCATGTGTCCTTGATGCCACCCCTGCCCCCAGCCCATCACCTGGCCTGCCCATCAACCAAACTCAGATCATATGCCATCAAAATCGCTTTGTACTAAGAAATACAGAAAGATCAGACAATGACAGAGGGAAAGGGCAGTCTTCTTTTTTCTTATTTGTTTTGTTTGTTAAGTCAGCGTAAGCTAACAGTATTCTTATTTACTAGGCTTCTTGCAAACAATGGAAAAGAAATGAGGAACGTTAGTAAATCCCCTCCCCCTACCCCAGGAGCTTTGCCTCGTCAGAGCTAAACCCAGATGTTACCTGGAATGAGCCAGCAACTGGCTGGGCAGCGCCCACAGCTGCAGAGTGAATGTTCCTTCCAAGCACATTTCTGTTGGGGGTCGGCCTTCTGGGCCACTCTGCCCCATGAGAAACGCCCCACCATGCCCAGGCAGGTAGGGAAAGACATGGTGGCACGTGAGTAGACCTGGCCCGAGCCCAGCTCTGCTGTGTGGCCTTGAACAAGTCACTTCCCTTCTCTGCCTCCAGTTTTCTTCTCTGGGAGAGGAGTCAGACCAGAGACTCTCCAAAGTCTCTTTCACCCTTGAGAACCTAGGTGGTTGATTCTCTGTGTATAAGAAGCATACTCTCAATGTGAACATTTCCATACCACACAGGTGTACACAGTGTCATTAGACCAGCTGATTTTCTCAAAGACCAGCGGTGGCCATCAGTTTGGGAGCGCTGTGTGGAGCCACATAAACATATAAAACAAACAAAGCTCAGATTTCTCTCTCTGTTGCTTTAAACAGTTTCTACCTTTTGGGATTTGACTCTCCCTCAGGGGCAGGAAAAAAGAACTAGATCACCTCCCACCAAGGCTGCGACTGACAGACAAGGAAAGGAAAGTAAGGACTTCCCTGGCGATCCAGTGGTTAAGATTCCACGCTTCCACTGCAGGGGGCGTGGGTTCGATCCCTGGTCAGGGAACTAAGATCCCGGGGCATGCCAAAAAAAAAAAAGGAAAGCTGCCGTTCCCGGGACTAAGTTCCTCTGGTTCTTTGTGGTTCTAGGCCCCATCGCTGTATCAGCAGCTGCCAGTCATATTCAACCTTTAGCTCTGAGAATTTCTCTGTGTCTGACGGAGAGGAAGGAAATACCAGTGACCACTCAAACAGCCCTGAGGAGTTAGTGGATAAACTCGAAGACCGCCTGGCAGAGAAGCTAGATGACCTGCTGTCCCAGACGCCGGAGATCCCCATTGAGATATCCTCGCATTCAGACGGGCTGTCTGACAAGGAGTGTGCTGTGCGCCGTGTGAAGACGCAGATGTCTCTGGGCAAGCTGTGTGCGGAGGACCGTGGCTATGAGGTGGGGGGTTCTCCTCCCTTCTCCTCTAATCACTCTTCCCTTCCTGGAGCTCTTTGGGTTAGAACATGCTCAAGTCCTTAGGGCCTTTACAATCATCGTCTAGTATATAAGATAAAACAACTGCCTCCATGAAGTCAGTAGAAGTACAGAGATAACAGAGCCCCTCCAGAATGGGGGCAGTTCTCCCAAAGGAAGCACAAACACGGAACTGCTCAGGAACCCTTCATTCCAAGATTTCACTCAAGCATCACTTCCGACCCCATCTCCCAACCTGGTTAAGGGTGTGAGCCTCCCTCCTCTGTGTCCCCACCAGCCCCTACCTGCTATCAGAGCACATGTAACACTTTAGTTCACAGACAGTACTGCCTTCTGAGAGGCACGATAGCATAGTGATCGGAAGTGTAGACCCTGAAATCTGACTGCCTAGATGCAAATCTCAGCCTTTCCACTAACGCACTGTGTGACATTGGGTAAGCCACTTAACCTCGCTGTAGGTCAGTTCCCTTATCTGTAAAATGGGTATGATAACAGCCTCTATTTCATAGGGTTGTTGTGAGGATTGAGTGGATTGATAGATGTTAAAGCACTTACAGCAGTGCCTGGGACATAGTAAACAATATATGTAGGGCTTTGGGGGCACTGCTATCACTGTCATCACCTTCGTCATAATTGCCGTCATCCTCTTTATATGTCTTCTTTCTCCGTAAACCCCACAAGGACACGACCTGATCTCCTTTATCTTAGCGAGCGACCCAGCACAGCGCCTGTCACATGAGAGGTGCTCAAAATATGTTTACTGAGTGATTGCAGAAAGGAATTAAGGTCTTATGTTGTCTTGACTTTGCAGAATCCTATGCAGTTTGAAGAATCGGACTGTGACTCTTCAGATGGGGAGCGTTCTGATGCCACAGTTAGGACCAATAAACACTACAGCTCTGCTACTTGGTAATGAAAGAATACCTACCCTGAAGATCTCATGACTATACTGGCATTTCACATCCATCCCACCCCCAGACTCTTCCCACTCTCTCCCTGCTTTTTTGTCTGGGAAGAGAGCTGCGCCATCTTTCTTACCCCTAGACGTGAGCTGCAATAACAGGAACATGAGACTTCACAAATCTCTGGAAAAAATATCCAAATGAAATTAAGTCTCACTGAACATTTCAATCAAGAATGGCAGGGATCTATTTTATTGAATACTCTAGCTACTGTAACACTGATATTTATTTTTGTTTGACATTTTAACACTTTGTACTGTAAAGAGTGAACTATATATGATAGAGAGAAAGACAATAATTTCTTGCAAAAAAAAAGAGAGAGAGAGAGAAAGAAAGGAGGAAAGAACAGAAGTGGAATTCAGGAGCAACATCCTTGGGAATCTGTGGAGCCAGGAGGTATTACTGCTGCTTGAACAGGGGACCAGTTCCTCTGGCCATAAGTGACTGAAGAAGAGCCAGAGCAAGACATACTGAACATTTTAGAAAACAAAAACAGCAAAAGAAAAGCAATTCCAGGTAATCTGTGAACAGACCACATTAAATTCACCCAGCTTGTCCAGATGGGTGATGGAAAGACCTAGACAATTTTGGAGACCAGAGACTTGCACCCAAGGCCTTTGAGGGCATGTGCTTCCTCTAGGAGGAAAAAGAAAACTGCGTGTGTCAAAGCTGATCTCATTTTTAAAACGCTGAGCAGCGTTGGTAGTGAGACTTACAGACAGTGTCCAACCTTGTCCTTGACAAATTTTCTGCTTTTTATGCTGTCAGTGTCACTACCTTGGCAAATGCATTACCTTGACCAATGTGTTGATTTTTCAGACTCAAGTGCCAGTTTCCTGTAGCCTATTTCCTTTCCACCTGTTGGCCGCTTCTTTTAGGGAAAAAGGGGCAGGGGAGGCAGAGCCTGAGGAGGAGAGGAGAAGACAAAAAGAGAATGTCCAACAGTGTTGGAAAAGCAAATGTGGAATTTGTAAAAGGACATTCTCAGAATGTCTCAGTTCAACTACGTGCAGAAGATGGGATCACCCCACCCTGGAACCAGGTTGCTTGTCTACTAGAGTTTTATTGATTTAAACAGAACAGTCCTTGAAGACAGCTAGGAGGTGTGTCAGTCTGCCCGATGTCCAATCCCAAACCATCCCCCATGTTTTTATTTGTTAACTCATTCTATCCCAGAAGCTGTAGTGACTGGCTACCACTATCAGAATAAAGGCAAAATAAGCAACTTGCAAAGGGCAACCCCTCCCCTATCACGATAGCATTTTTGTTAAATGCTACTTGTAACATGTATTTGGATCAATGTAGTTTTGAATAATTGGATTTGGAAATTCGTAGAAAGAACAACTGATGCTAAGCAGAGATTGGAAAAATATTGTCCAAGGCATGAGGTCCTTCCTGTCTCTAGGGTCATGGGCTCTGAGAAACATCCCAAGGTACCTCATGGTGCCTTGGCTTTAAGGAAATTTTTATCTAGAATTTTATATAAAAACAGATGTTGGCCTAGTTCCTGTCTCTGTCTCCAAAATCAGTTAAAGCCAAACAACCTCAAAGCTCAAGACCTGGAGAGGGTGGCTAGACGCTCTGATATTGCATCGGACTGGACTTCAGGAAAGACTTACATACACAGGTATTAAACCATTTCCAGTACAGATGAAAACATCACCCTCCTCTGGGTGTCACTGATTGCATTGGCCAAAAAGGAAAAGCAGGAGGGAATATAGAGCAGTTCCTTTTGCTTGTTTTGATCCCTCCATTTGTTTACACTTTATGTTGAGACATTGATTTAAAATTTAGTGTCTGTAATTTATAGCTCTTAGGTAGGCTGAAGGAAAATATTTAACTTATACAGAGAGCAGTATTGTTTCATTAAATTATTCCATTTTGTATAAATTCTGTAGCTGGACTACATGAAAGATCTTAAGTTATGGTATTATTATCATTGTTATTTTATTTTATAATTATCTTTCTCATTTTCTGTCGATCAGAAAGTGTGGTTTATGGTGTAGCACAATGATTGTGTTTATTGCTAACCATGAATTATTATGGATTTTTATGAAGGAATGAAAATGGAACTGCCATTTGGGAGCTCCCTGGTATTTGTCTTAGCTGTGTTCCCTCATTTTCTGTGTACAACAACAATCATGAGGATGCGTGTACCGCCCTGAGGTCCAGTGGATACGTTGTGATTTTGACTTGATCGCAAAAGCTCCTAGGTGGGCATCAGATGACTGAGTGGTGGACAAAGAGTTCAAAAGCTGTACATTTTCTCGAGTTTCTTAAGAAATAAAATCATGGGACTACATTAGAAGCACAAACAGAATTATGTAATGCCCTGAGAGGAACAGGCCTACAGGGAATCTGCATGGGGCCTGTGGGGTAGATAGTTTCAAGAACTGGCGGCATAGTTTGTAATCTCCTTCCTACTAAATCCCATAAAACCAACATTTTGCTCCTAGTTGGGAGACTATAAAAAGGAAATAAAGAGATGGCATGACAAAAAAAAATGCCTAACTGTGATGTCATCCCATAGCAAGACAAGAGAAATTCTAGAATGAGGATTAGTCTCTTAGTCACAGAGCTGGAAAAGTACCTTGAAAGCCCATATTTTTCATCCTCTGACTTCAGACCACACCATACTGTGAATCTCTCTGGTTCATTACTTCTGAGAACAGAGAGGCTACAACTCTGTGTCCTCTTTATTTATTTATTTTTTTTGATGTGGACCATTTATAAAGTCTTCATTGAATTTGTTACAATATTGCTTCTGTTCTATGTCTTGTTTTTTTGGCCGCGAAGCATGTGGGATCTTAGGTCCCCAACCAGGGATCAAACCCGCATCCCCTGCATTGGAAGGTGAAGTCTTAACCACTGGACCGCCAGGGAAGTCCCTCTGTGTCCTCTTTCTGTCCAACATAAAACACTGACCCTTCAGCATGTCCAGGTCTTGCCCACCTGTCATGGCCAAAGAGGAACATAAAGGTTAACGTGTCTTACCCCTTTCAGTGATGGTCTTCCTGGAAAACCCACCCCAATACCTCATAATTTTGATAACTTTTTTGAATTCCCATCTTGACTGTCTGTCATGGTAATGCCATATACCTGTCTGGATTGACTGTTATGAGCAAGTTAGCATAGCAGACAGTATTGAATCTTCAAGTCATTCACTCTATTGTCAAGAGTTGAATAGGGCTTCCCTGGTGGCGCAGTGGTTGAGAGTCCGCCTGCCAATGCAGGGGACACAGGTTCGAGCCCTGGTCCGGGAAGATCCCACATGTCGTGGAGCAACTAAGCCCATGTTCCTCAACTACTGAGCCTGCGCTCTAAAGCCCGCGAGCCACAACTACTGAGCCCATGAGCCGCAACTACTGAAGCCCGCACGCCTAGAGCCTGAGCTCCACAACAAGAGAAGCCACCGCAATGAGAAGCCCGCACACCGCAAAGAAGAGTAGCCCCCGCTCGCCGCAACTCGAGAAAGCCCGCACGCAGCAACAAAGACCCAACGCAGCCAAAAATAAATAAATTTATTTAAAAAAAAAAAAAGTTGAATAAAGTTCCACGTTGAACATTTTACTTATTTTTTAGTAGAAGCGACTAGAGGCTTCAGAGAACAGTGTCTTTAGTCTAGGTTAAAAGAGAAATGCCTTCTCTATCCCAGGCTACCCTTCACTGCCTGCCTTCAAATAACCAGCACAATTTTGAATTAGTGTGTGTTTCTTTGAGAACAACTCCACAGTCATCTGAAGAGTGGAACGAAGAGCTCGGGGAATTTAAGAGCTAATTCTTCAGTCTGACAACTGGGTGGCAGTGCTTTAAAGACTCACAGGACTATGATTTCAAGCTTCATTGTTGATCAAAAATTTAACCCCCTTGAAGTGAATTCCACATTCATTTAGCATCTGGTTTTGACTGACTGCAAGATAATGAGTTTTTATTTGTTTTGCAGATGGGCATTTGGTTCTGATTCCTATCTATTTCTAGATCATGTCCTCTGAATAACAATTCCTCTTAAAATTGCTTGGCAGAGGGACTGAGAAGCCTGCATCCTCCTTTGAAGTTATAATAGACCTTACCACCACTAAAGTTTGGACCTGTTGGTGAGATTGTGGGGAGCACCTACCCAGGGAGGTGAAGGTGTTAACTGTGTTGTATGATGGTTCGGTATGACCAGCTTGAAGTTCACATATTTTAAAACTTTAGTATCAACAAATCCATCCTTCTAGAATTAAGGATATTTTAGTAGGATTTAATAAGTACACTGGACTTCCACTTAAGGGCCTCATTGTACTAAATTTTCCTCTTACCCTAAGTAATAATAGATTTGATGGTTTGGGGTTTTCCTGGTACCAACCCAATTTTCAATGCCCTCTCCCACTGTGGAGCATTGACGTTTTTCCAGTGTGAATGCGTTCTTATTGATCAAAAGATTTACCCTTTTTTTCCATGCCCTTTTGTCTCAATCCGCCCCCCTTCCTTAAAATGTTTCTACTTGAACTTCCTGTGACTGAATTCTACAAATTCCAAGGAATTCCTGCCCTGCTCTGCAGTATAGTGCGCTATGTTGTATTTTGTTTTTCTACCAAGCCAGAAACCAAAATACCACTTCATACCACCATCTGCCATCTCCACCCTCAATACCCAAGACCGTGGTATTTATTGATCACCATATTCTTTCCTACTGAGCCTGGACATGGCCTCAGAACCTCTCACAACACAGCATTTGGAGCCATAATTGGCACTTGATTGGAATTGGTGTGCAAGGGGAGATCTGTTTGCTGTCCCAGCTCTAACCTCATAATTAATTTCCTAAGGTGGTTTGAGATCTCGAGTTAGCCCTGATGGGAGAATGACAGGATATACCAGTGTACTCCTTATAGATCCCACCCTACAGCTATCAGGGGGCAGCACCAATGACAGCAAAAAGGCCACGTGCCTCCACCCACTGCCCTTTTGGAGTACGATTCCAATTGTATATTGAATTGCAAAATGTCTCTTCATTTACATCATTTCATTGTTAAATGAGCATGTTCCTCCACCACCTTCTATAAACAGAAAGTTAATACAAGTCCCAGTTACTTGCTTCTTCCTTAGACTCTATGAGACTGATGTACCAAAACAACGTGACATTCTTTTCAAGACTCTGACTTGTACTGTCAGTATGAATTTAGTGCCTTTCTAGGCAGCAAGATTTTTCTTCATTGCTGATTTCATAGAATAAATGTCCTAATATACTCACATCGCCAATGTTAGCAGCCTCACAGACTAGCACATAAGAATCACATTAGTCTGCCTGTTTGCATGTTACAGCCAATACTGCAAGCACCTATTCAAACTGGAAGGAACTAGACTGCCAAATGGAGGACCCCTGTGGAACCTGGAACACTTCTCAGGGACAGGTGGCAGAAGAGGGGAGCTCTGAAATCACTGTTCTGAGAAATAGGGTAACCCCAAAAGGGTTAGGTTAAGGCTTTTGTTAACTGTCACGTAACCGGAGCATGCTGGCAGGATTTCACACAGGGCCAAGCCCCCAAGCAGACGGTAAGGCCACTGTAAGAAAACTTCCGGCCAAATCCCAGGCCTACTCTCTAGAGCCACTTCACAGCACTCAGGCGCACGCTGGCTCCTGGCCCCAGGCTGCTGCCCAGTGACCAGACACACAGGGTCCTCCCGTGGTTGCAGACCAGAGGGAACCCCACCAGAAGGCGCAGGCTAATAGGAAGACGTCCCTTATTGACCGCATCGCCCGGGTAGCTCACTACCTCGAGCGACCACTTCTCAGAGTCTGGAAGTGGGACGACCCACTTTGATTCTTGATTGCAATAATTTGAGTTCCTTTCAATTTGGAGCAAATTAACTTTTTTTGTAGTCAAGTCTCAGAATGATCTCCCTCATCTGTGTCCTCTGAGGTCTCCAGTACTGTTAGTTCCCCTGCTCCCTGTGTGGGTTCTGATGCCGGCTCCCTCTTTGTATTGAACAATTGTACAGCGATGGGAACAAGAGCGACTATCAAAGCAAACAAATGCATGGAATTAAACAAAAAGTGTACTTCACTGTTTTCTGTCCTGTCTTTTCCTTATAGGTACTGTTTGTGTCCTGAGAGCTGCCTTCACAAGTCTCAGTATTTGTCAGAACTTACGGGAAAGGAAGACTTTACATGACTGGGTCTCCCGCAGCCAGGAAAAATAGGTGATGGGAAAAGCTGGTTTCTGGGGCTCTTTCGTCAGACACATCCACAGAAGGAAGAGATGACCATGATTTTCTTTGGTTATCGTCTCTTGGTGATTATTCTGTCATATCCCAGACAGGCACTCTTCTTCTTCCCTACGACTTTCCTGCTGCCCATCTTACAGCTACTTCTGTGGTATTAGCACCCTACTATAAAATATGCATACGAGGGAAAAGGCAAAAATGAAAATCTGGCTTCCAGTGTGTACAACTGGTAAGAAGCTTGAGAGTAGAAAGCTAAGACACCACTTTGGATTGTCTGATTTTCAGCCAATCCTGATTCCCACTGGCAATGGGAATTGAAAGTTAGCAACATGTATAAACACACACCACACAGAATATTTATATCCATTTATTTGGGAAATTGCTTTGCCTGTAAACTCACAACTGATAAGGCACATTGTTGCAAAATCACGGGGGAGATGGGAGAGAGACCAATCCAAGGATCTGGATAAAGGGCAAAGGGCCATACTTTCAATAGTGTAGAGAGCTTCCTTGTGTCTCCCCTTCCCTCCTCCTACTTCACAATACAAAGAGCCACGGATCTCCAAGTCCAGTTGGCATCCTCCTCACTCCCACTCTTGTTATCAAGCTTCTTTTAAAGCAACACATCCTTAAAAATGAAGTCCTTGTTGTGTTTTTTGGATTATACCATGTCCAAAAAACACTGCTTGGAAATTCATTCTCTGTCATGAATTCCCAAGAATTCATGTAGAACAACTGGTCTACATTAAAGCCTTGGCAAGATTCTTGGCCAAGCCAAATCAAAAACCCAGCAGATGGTGCCCAGGGACAACAGTTCTAATAAGAAATGATGAGTTACTCCTGTAGGGTACAGGATCCCAGAGCTGGTCATTTTAGGTGCCAAGGCCCTTCTGTCCTTGGAAGCATGAACAGGTCTGTGCCAATTCAATACTGCAGCCATAGGAAGCCATGACAGCCACAGATCATTAAAATACAACACAACAAATTGATCCAAAACCAAATTTTCCCCTTAATTCACCTGAATTAAAAGATAAAATAGAATTATTCCCTCAGTTATTCTCAGGAAATGACAAAATGAAAAAAAGCATTCAGAGGGTATACTGGGTGATATTGGAGTGTACTGAATCCATTGTCCCAGCAAGACAGAGGAGGGATTTCCACACAGAAAGGACAGACTAGAAAATGTACTCACAGTCATTTGGTTCAAGTGAGTCAAGGGTTCTGCCCATCCAGATGGGTAAGAACTTCTCCAGAGTATTCATAACATACAGAGTTTGCTCCATTGATATTCAATAGTCTGTTTGCAATCAGCTGAATTGTCAGGACATGCAGCCAAGAGGAGATGTGATATATGTGGTAACATCAGTGCGTCTGAACACAAAGAGCATCACAGCAATCACTGTGTTTTTGAGCTGTACATGGAAATTCTATGCAGTTTGTCGGCTTGTTTCCTCTGATTTATGGAAGAGGTAGGTCATCAGCAGCAGAACAGTGCAGAAGGATCACTCTTCAGGAGACTAACAAGATGAAGAGTGGTGT